AGGTTTGTCAAGAAAAACAAATCTCAAACTGATGAATTGTAGAGTTTTTCCAGCTTTGATATTTTGGTGTAAATTTTGTATCTTGAATGCTGACCTCCACAACTCGGTTAGTAATAAGTACATCCCCCTGTCCCGTGCTCTTATACAGATTGGAGCTTTACAGCTAGTGTCTTAAAGACTTGGATGACTTAAAACCACAGGTTTAAAAGTATTACCTCATTCATGTCATAAAGTCATTGTTTGCAGTCCCTGCCCTATTGATGTGGTGGGGGGGAAGGACGATGGACAGCACAGGTAGGTGATTGTATTAAAATGTATACAATTTTCCTCTTGTCACATGTCACTCTTATAAAACTTATTTCAAATTCAATCACTGTTCTGAAAAAGGGGTCACAAATTGAGCCCTTCAATTATGGCATTATACCGGTTTCATTTAATTTATATTGGCACGGCTCCCTTCATAATGGGATGTAATTTGCCTAAAAGACAGATAATTCTATGTATTTCAAATCACATTTAGAAGTAGCAGGGCTGGCAAAGCATCATTGGAGAGTTAATTCCACCGCAGTTATGAGCGTTCTGTTTGGTACACATGAGTAACTATATCGGTCTGTATGCTCTTATTAAACATTTGGAGCGGCCGGCCCACAAGTGTGGTTGGATTAACTATCATTATACACCTGCACAGGCTGACTAATGCCCTGCGTGTCAGCCCACTGTACATATGCAATGTATTGACCTTTCCCACACCATGAACATTGCCCTGAATATTTAACAATGGCTGTCCTGCTTTTCATAGTTATTTTTTGCTACAGTGCCTGAAGGAATAATAGCCAATCATGCAGCAGTTTCCCAATAAGTTCTTTACCAACTGAATGTTTCATATTCATGATTCATCGTACATGGGAAGATTAACGCCTTTTCAAGTCTTTCCTTTACACTTACCATAAAGCCTGCTAATAATTTTTCTTAATAAGTTACAAACATTTCTTTCCAAATCTAAAAGTTCAAAGCGTGACACCTAATCCTTGAGTCACTATAAAATTATTATTAATTTTAATTTTTTTTAAACGGCACCAGCCTACCTTTTTTTCCAGGCTGGCAATAAGCTTTGTAGAATTTTTTTTTTTTTTTTTTTTTTACATGATGCATTGGTAGCCGGGCATTTGTTTTCTGTAAAGGACGACTTTATGATCATTTATTAATTGAGCTGCATAACAGTCATTGTAGCTTGTTCCGAAGACACAAGACTTCTAAGAGGTTGCCACGTAAAATTAATTTCATTACTTTTGTCCTATGCATTTAGCATATTTTTCCCTCAGAATCCTTTGAATGTTACGTGAGGATATTTTATATCATGTAAAGTGGTGACTTGTCGACCAGATCAAAGACAGTAATTTTAATTATCAAAAAGTTAAATAAAAGCGAAATTAATGGGAAATGTTACACATTTGGGTTTTAATAAAATGATTCTATTTACTTATATTAAATTGTCAATTTAAAGGGACACTCCAAACACCCAGACCACTGGAGTGGTCTGGGTGCTAACTCCCATGACCCTTAACCCTGCAAGTGTAATTATTGCAGTTTTTTTATAAACTGCAACGATTACCTTGCAGGGTTAAGTCCTTCTCTAGTGGCTGTCTATCAGTGTTTGTTTTTATATGACACAGCCATGTTATGCTGCTCTTGCCCACCACATCTGTTCCCTATAAAAGGCTAATAAGTGTGTACAGGTTTAGAAAGATACCCCTCCCTTTCTCTTTAGAGATTTTGCCTTATGGATGAAAGCAGCAAGCTGAATTGTTAGTGTAGGACTCACCTAGGAGGTTTTGCCTTAACGTGGCAAGTGAGATTACTCTTGAATGACCATTGAAGTGATACTAAAACACTGTTATTTAAATGTGCATTGGAATTTGGGATAGTAGCTTTTTTTTCTTCTTTGATTTAAATTGTCAACATATGTGCACAGCAAAACATCCACAGTACATCCCATAATCCAAAATATGGATGTTCAATGTCTATTGAGATAAATGGAAAAATATTTTTTAATCTAACTAAACTATTGTAGTTGTAAAATTTCTACATACCAATGGGTATTGGTGATACCCAGTTTGGATCAGAATTGGAAAATCTTGTAATTCTTGACCCCTGAGGTTTATGATCTATGATAAATGAGCTATAAACTATTGCTATAGTGCAACTGCTTGATTGATTTTTAATATTAAGATGACTTGTTCCCTATATTTAACAAATGTGTGAGGTTTAAAAAACACAAAATAGTTGGATTTAGTTCTATCCTAGAATGCCTCTGTCTTGACACATTGCCAATCATCAGTATGAACCTTGCACCTATTAGTGAGCAATGAGCATAGAGAAAGGAAGAGAAAGCCAAACAAAGTTGCCGTTTCTCCCCTTCAAATGCCCAGGTTGTGCGAGGATTAAACTGGATTGTGACGTCAAATGCTAAATCTTTATTCTAAATAAAAGTATTCATACTCCGCTTCATCACACTGTGAATGATTCTTACAGAGAATCATCTGGCTAATAACTGCAGTTGCCACACATGCCCAGTAGGTCCTCAGTGCTTCTCTATAAAAAGTACTGGATTGTAAGAGACATTATCCTCAGGGGTGGTCTCGATGAGAAAGAGCACCTACCCAACGAGGATATAAAGTGAGAAAAAAATTTGCCCTTTTATGGTAAACGGGGAGGGGCACGATCAAAATCCCAGATATACTCTAAGATGAATGTATATGTGTGTGTTGTTTATCTAAGCAGCCAGTGCTGCTCCACTAACATTTTTTTTGTTTTGTTTTTGTTGTGGGCAATTGCCTTAGGCTAGATAATTATAATGTTCATTTCCCACCCTTTGTAGACCCTCTAAAATACTGTAGAGCTGCCACTATTGGTACAGACCCCTGTGTTAATAATCACTATCTTAAAGGGACTCTCCAGGCAGCAGTTTTTACTCACCTGGTTCCAGCGCCGGGAGCCTTGTGAAGCCGTGCCCCCTATTTTGTCAAAATGACGAAATAGGCGGGCGCGAGCAGGGAGCAATCAGATGCTTCCATTTTGAAGCATCACGTGTTCACATACTTAAGAGGGCGGCATTCAGGCCCGGACTGGCCATCGGGCACACCGGGCAAATGCCCGGTGGGCCGCGATGTCCGTGGGGCCGAGGCCGGCAGGGAGATCACAGAATCGCCCCTGCAGGGCCAGCGCTATGCGTGCGCCGGCCCTGCTGTGTGCCTCCATGGGCCGGTGGGGAGATCACAGATCTCCCCACCGGCCCACAAGCAGTGTTACATGCGGCCGCCGGGAGGGAGGAGAGGACCGGCGGAGCTCGAGCCAGCAGCTCTGCAGGGTCCTCTCACGAGGTCTGAGCGTTGCCGCGGTTACCACGGCAACGCTCAGATCTCGCGAGAGTGAACTCTAGCCTGCAGGCTAGAGTTCACTCTCACCACTTGGACCACCAGGGAAGGCAGCACCCTCCATGGCAGCACGGCACCCCCCATGGAAACCCGGCTTCCCACCCCCTCCCGGGCTAAAGGTAAGAAGGGAGGGGGGGATACATAGTTTTTACTTTTGTTAAATAAAAAAAAAAAACATTTATATAAACACTGTACTATATACACTAATAGCACTCACACAGAGCACACTCATACTAACATCACCCTTAGACACACACACACACACACACACAGCACCCTCAATCACACACAGCACCATCACTCAAACAGCACCCTCAATCACACACAGCACCCTCAGACACACACACACACACACACACACACAGCACCCTCAGACACACACACACACACAGCACCCCCTAGAGACACACACACACACACAGCACCCTCAGAGACACACACACACACACACACACCCAGACACACAGCAGCCTCAGACACACACACACACAGCACCCACACACACACAGCACCCCAGACACACACACACAGCAGCCTCAGACACACACACAGCACTCCACACACACACACAGCACCCCAGACACACACAGCAGCCCCTAGACACACACACACACACACACACACACAGCAGCCTCAGACACACAGCAGCCTCTCAGACACACACACAGCACCCCACACACACAGCACCCTCAGACACACACACACACACACACACAGCACCCCAGACACACAGCAGCCCTCAGACACACACACACAGCAGCCCTCAGACACACACACACACACAGCACTCCCCAGACACACAGCAGCCCCAGACACACACACACACAGCACCCACAGACACACAGAGCAGCCCTCAGACACACACACAGCACCCCCAGACACACACAGCAGCCCCAGACACACACACACACACACAGCACCCTCAGACACACAGCAGCCCCACACACACACACACAGCACCCCTCAGACACACACACACACACACAGCAGCCTCAGACACACAGCAGCCCTCAGCACCCCACACACACACACACACACACACACACACAGCACCCTAGACACACAGCAGCCTCAGACACACACACACACAGCAGCCCTCAGACACACACACACACAGCACCTCAGACACACACAGCACCCCAGACACACACACACACACACACACAGCACACACACACAGCACCCTCAGACACACACACACACACACACACACACAGCACCCTCAGACACACACACACAGCACCCTCAATCACACACAGCACCCTCACACACACACAGCACCTTCACTCACACAACACCCTCAGACACACACAGCACCTTCACTCACACAGCACCTTCAGACACACACATCACCTTCACTCACACAGCACACTCACACATATACAACACACACACGTATGTATAGTATATAAAATAACCCTCAGTAAGCTAACAGACAAAAAAAATTAGAAACATAGAATGTGACAGTAGATAAGAACACCCTCACACACACACAGCACCCCTCTTACACACACTGCAATCCTCACACACGCTGCACCCTACACACATACACACAGCACACACAACACACTGTGCCCTTCACACATACAATACGTCCAAATAAATATATATATATATATATATATATATATATATATATATATATATATATATATATATGTATCTGTTTGGACGTATTGTATGTGTGAAGGGCGCAGTGTGTTGGGTGTGCTGTGTGTATGTGTGAAGGGTGCAGCATGCATAATATTATTATTATTATTATTGCCATTTATATAGCACCAACAGATTCCGTAGCGCTTTACAATATTATATACTACAGCACCACTACACACATTACGCTCCAGATACACACTAGATCCCTTACCCTATATATACTCTGAATCCTCTATACACACACACACACACACACACACAATCTCCTATACACACTCTGGGTTACACACAAGATCCCCTGCACACACTGCATTCCTGACATACAAACTCTGGATCCCCTATGCACACACTACATTCCATGTAAGCAAACACATACTACATTCCCTAAGCACACACTCTACACACACTACAGCCCATATGCACACACTCACTACATCCCGTATACACACTATGCCCCCTATAAACACTCGCTACAGCCCCTAGCCACACATATTACACCACAAACACGAATTAAATTGACCTATTTACACAATACCACACCACAATCGTCTCACTCTACACACACACACAATCCCACAAGCAGGCTCCAAACACATGCACCATATGCTTTTCTGGCCCTTTTGTCCTCTGGTATCCTACTTATGGAGACACCAGAGACAATTTAAAAGCAAACACAGCGCAAGCACGTTATTAAATTTGCTTGCGCTGCGCAGAACAAATACCGGGCCTTTTTCCCATGCTAGAGCTCTTCAGCAGGGCTCTGCGCATTGAACCAACATGCTCACTTTGAGAGGGGGTGTGCTTGTCATTAGTGATGACAAAACACAACCTCTCTGGCCCTGCCCCCTTCTCAGGGGGCCGCTGTGATTGAAAAATGCCCGGGCCTAATTTTTTCCCAGTCCGGCCCTGGCGGCATTCATGCCGCCCTCTGAAGTCCTGAGCGCACTACCGCGCATACGCGTGGTTGCGAGCTGAGCTGACTGACAGCTCAGCTCGCGGCCTTTGCCCGCCCCCCTCCTCTGCTGACAGGCAGAAGAGAGAAGGCGTGCACACAGTGCCTTCTCTCTCCTGCACACGTCAGACGTATTTTAATACGTCTGATGTGTACAGGGCCTTTTTAGGGCCCTACATGATAGGAAGTCCCTCTGGTGGCCGTCTGAGTGACGGCCACTGGAGGTATTCCTATCAATCAATGTAAACACTGTATTTTCTCTTTACATTAGATTGCCTGCAGGGAGCTATAGATCTCACCTGAACAACTACATTAAGCTGTAGTTGTTCAGGTGACTGTAGTGTCCCTTTAAAACATGAAAATGCTCTTCATCTCTTAAAGGGGAAAATAATAAAAACCATGTCATTAAACTATAGAAGCTAATTATGCTACAAGGATGTTAAATTGGGTTTATCTGCTGTTTTAACAGTTAACAACCAGTAGACATGTGCAATTTGTTTCGGTCCGAATTTACATTCGGACGAATTTCGGCAATTCGGACATTTTGGATTGCCGAAGTGCCAAATTTTGAAGTGCTTTGGATTTCTGAAAAGTGGCAAAACAGGAGAGGGGAAATTAAGGGAATGATGACAGGAATCTAACCGGAGCCCTAAGCCTACCTCTAACCCTACCCCGGGTAGGGTTAGGTTTGGGCATGGGGTTAAGGGGTAGGCTTAGGGAATTGCTAAAATCCCGAATTTCGAAAGTACGGTACCGAACTGCCAAACTAAACCAAATTTTTTGCCCATGCACATCCCTAACAACCAGTGGTAATCCATTGCATTGTCACAACCTGGTTCTTAAAGACGATATATGTAAAGGATCACCTGGCACCCTGACTGGGTACCTCCGTTGAAGGATGCTCCTAGCGCTTCCTGAGGGCTCCAAGCACTCTAGCCGACACCACAACCACCGCAGGCCAAACCTATCTTCCTTCAGAGCGAAGCAGGAACAATCTTAGGAGTGATTATAGCAAGGGAATATGCAGAGCATAGCAATCCCTTGTAGCAGATTCCCACAATAAGAGACGGAACTCAAAATTGAGGGTGAAGTAGAACTCAAGCTTTAATCCAACACTCTGCTTTTATGCACATTTTACACCCATAGTACTGCCCACAGGGTTTTGCAGAACAACCAATCAATATGTACAATACACTCAGACACTCCCAGCAATTAAACACAAAATCCTCCCCTCTGCCTGTGATATAATTACTGAACACAATGGGCTAACGTAATTATCACAGGCAGGAAAATACACAATTTTACACAATATTCATAACTTTAAAAGTATACATCACATTCACATTTTCAGAATCCACATACTCCAAATACAAACATATGTCAAAATCATACAAATTGGTCCAGTGGTTCAAAAGTTAGTTGGAAATCCTTTTTTGACCAACTGCAAGCATGGCTTGGGTGTGGTAAGCCAATTATTATCTCCAGCCTACAGAAAATATCTCTATTTACAACAACAGTAAAAACACATACAAATACATAATTCCTATCATACTAAACAGAACCCCCACATTCCCCAGATAGCTTGGATCTGAGCGCTCAATATATCCGAACAGCGCCCTACTTAATGCCATAGAGTTCTACAGAAGCTAGATGAGTAGGACACAATGTCAAAGTAGGAACTTTTTAAGGATCTGCATGCTATGACATAGACCAGTCCTGTCCAACCTGCAGCTCCCCCTGGCTGAAGGTCCCTGGTTTCCATATATTTTTAATGTGTAGTTATGCAGTCTTTGTCCTATTTACATCAGATATAAATAGAAGCCATAGCTTGAGTGTGAAAGAGAATCACTTGATGCAGAATTTCTATCACGCAGCAGATTTAAACTCTTCAAATATCGTATAGCTTCATATTTTGTGCCAGTCTTCTGCTTCTAATAATATTCTCTAAAGAATATAAAATGTGGAGGTGGGGGAGAGAATTCACACATTTGACACTTATAATCCTCGTCACATGGCTCAGCGAAACTCAAGTGTCTAATTTAGTACCAAACGCACTGTAGATTCTGCTGTTTTGCTGTATGTGAGATGTTAGAACATATCTCAGAGTCTTATGATCATCTACAACATCTGCATTTACCATTGGTTCTAATCCACAAGGTGAGGATCCACAATTGTCTCCTTGGGATTTTAGTACCAGGGCTCAGGAAACTGCCTACAATAAATTGTTTGTCTCAGTTATCCTTACTCATTCAAACCTAATCAAAAAGCCTCTCTAAAAAAACAAAACACTTGATAAAACATGTTTAAGATACTAAATGATTAAATCATCACGTGATTTTAATTAAGCATTTTTCTTTTTATTCCTGTTGCCACATGTAAATGTTTGCACGTAGTATGTGATTTAATGGGAAAGCATGTCTGCACTGTGATGTGAATGCATGCATACACATGGTGACATCTAATACATGAATCTCATGTACATCTGCAAATGGTGGGGGTGGACGGGTGCCCTCTTTACCCACTGATAAATCTGGCACCCGTTTTTTGCCTTGATAAGTCTTCACCTTGGTCTACAATAAAACAGAGCATGTCAGATACAGATGAAAAGAGACATCTTTGGTTCTGGGAAAAACTGCCACCAACTCTGTCCCACTGTCCCTTAATGAAGGTATGTAATGAGAGGACAGGGATTTTCCTGGAGGAAAAATAATATCGACAATGAGGGGATGTTGGGTCAGGATGGTGGGCACATTGATGGGAAGTAGGAAAATCCCAGAAAGCATTAAGGTTAGATGATTTAGACTAATAGAAGGATTGTAGGAGGAGGTCAGTTGAGGTCGCGAAGGGCTTAAGCAACAGACTGTCATGAGGGCCTTTTATGTCTAAATGTTTGCAGGTATTATAGAGAGGACTTTTAGAAGATGGCCAATTGCATGTAACAATTGATTGTGTTCCAATTTTAGAAGCCAAGGAAAGTTGTGATGTATCATGATTATGGGGATGCGGAACTGGATAGAATATAACAGGAGATAACAAGGGAGATGTAGGAAGGGGCAAGCTTGTAGAACGATTCCTAATGCCCGAAAGAACTTCCAATATCACAAAACACATTTTCAAACCTTACCTAACTGGTAAATACATGTAAAGTATGAGTTGTGTAAAGATAGTCTCCAATCTTGCAGGTATGATTACAACAGGTTGAAATTGAGAAGCATCACCTGTAGCTAGAGCACAGGGTCTGGAAATATTTATTAACTAGAAACATTTGTTGCACCTCAATAGATATGGGACAGTGCAGAAATATTATTCCTATTCATTACAACATGTATGCCTTGATGCTAAATGATAGATTAGCTGTTATGAAGGCCTACTGCACTATGCCTGGCAATTATCCATATGTAAATGGCCATCTTTAAGCATCAGCATTATGCTGCCTTATTTCAGCAATCTGCAAAATGCCATTATCCCTCAAAAGTCTTCTATCACTAAATGTAGTCAGCTTGAAAGAGCATAACAGCTTGTGACTTTATATTTTTTTTTACTTTCATGGAAATGATTAGCTTATCTTTGAAATGATTCATTGTGACATATTGTGGGACTCATTACTAACAGTAAGAACTCAAAAACCTACAAAACAAATATGTTGTACCAAGTCTTCTAACCTCCAAAGGACCCATTCGGAGCCAAAATTCCACTACACAAAAAAATCTATACATACATCATAATAATAAACAAGCACATTTTAGGGGGAAGGGCAAAGTCCCTCGTTAGGACCTAATCCAATTTAACATATTTTCTATTTTCTCAGAATGTTCATTCTGTATGTTTGTTATAATATTTGGCAAAGCCAGGTCCTTGCACATGTCGACTTTCTCCACTATGCCCACCCTGTTCCATTCTATGTAGAGAAACACAATCTCATTCTATAAAGAGAATGGATCGCAAACTATGGCCCCTCTGATGTTTATTGCCTATAAATTCCAGAATTATCTTAATGCAATATCTAGCAAGAGAATCATGGGTGTTGTAGTTCAGCAACATCTGGAGGGCCAGAGTATTACATATGCACTCCTAAAATGTTGTATAATTCACATT